ATCAGAGCAAAGCGATACACCAAGAAGACCATCGGGTGTAAGCCCGATAGAGCTACAATATCGGTTTGAGGCCGCGATCTCACGAGCGAAACGAATGTACGATGCCAAACTCCCAATCATGGCCAAGAAGGCACATGACGAAGCGATAAAATACGGTGGAGAGATGCAGGCGATTGACCCGAATGCTATCAGTGTTACCAAGCTGGTAGACATGGAGGTTACCTATTGCCGTATCATCAAAGCATGTAGTCCGTTTGTGGACTCGTATGAAGCACTTGCGTGGGAGAGACTACAGAACCTCAAGTCCAATCTACACAAACACACTGGCCACGGAAATAACGTCGACTTTTGTACCGAGCAGGAGAAGATCGGTATCTTGTGCGCTGAGTTGCGGGATCGAGAGGGAGCTGTTGAGTTCTTGAGAATATCACTGGACACATATCTATCGAACCGCGAGGAGTACGAGGACAGGATACCACGAATATCGATGCTGGTGTGCGAGCAGTACGAGTGTATGGGGCAGTGGAATAACTTGGATGCTTTCAAGAAAGTCATATTCGACAAACTAGGCTACGATCCGGCCTCAGAGCCGAATGCCCTCGCTGACACAATACTATGGTGTCGCCACCATGGGTATGAAGCCTCCGAGATCGAGGGGAGACTATACATACCGGAGGAGAACTTTGTAGAGAGCACTCCGCTTCACGATGCCGCCGCCGATATGACTGTCCGGATAGAGATCATCCATCAGCTGATACCTATAGTCTACCATGCGAGACCCGATGCGAACGGTGACACGCCCTTGCTCGTGGCAGTACAACACTCCAACAATCTCGCACTTCAGGCATTATTACGAATCTCCGGGTCTGTTCACGTATTGGACTCCAAAGGCGGCACTCCATTACATCGATGCGATAACGATGAGACACTGAGGCTGCTCCTGGAAGAGATCAAAAAGCCAGTTCACCACTCCTGCCCGAATGAACAAGGCTTTCATTTGGTCAACATAGATTCGATAGATGGTTATGGCGAAACAGCTCTGCACAAAGCTTGTGAAAAAGGCAACGTGCGCATGGTCGGCTTGTTGGTAGCTGAAGGCGCAGACGTCAATTTGGTGTCCGGGTCGAATGAGACCCCATTGATGATTACCTGCGAACGTTCTGAGCTAAAAGGAAAGGGAAGACTAAGCAAAGAACGAAGGCGAATTGTGGAAACATTGGTGAATAGCCATGCGGATACAAAGCACAAAGATGACTGGGGCAAACCCGCTGTTCCAAAGAGTCTTAAGGCGAGGGGGTATAGTGAGGCCGAAATCGACAAGATGCTCTCACCAGACTTGACACGAAGGTTCAATAGAGGACGGGCGCAGGAGAGATTCTCCGTCTCATCAGGCAGCAGCTCCGAAAGACCATCCTTCGCAACACCCAGTGCCATATCGTCATCGTCACCAGTCGAACTCGTCGGCGACGTACCCTCGCGACCAGCAGAGTTGCCCTTGACTCCAGTGTCGAGTGGTGTCCCGCCTTCAGGATATGAGTTACGATCAGGGGGGACATGGTCAGAGTTACAGTTAGCTGAGCTGCCAGGGTCAACGCCTGTTGTGTCGGTCGAGCTAGATAGCAGGCAAGTGGAGGTGGTTGAGTCACCGAATCAGAAGTTCTTGAGAGATGGGAAGTTGAAGAGCATCAGGAGGAAGCTGAAGATATTGGGTGATCGGTGATGGAGTAGGAAGGGGTGATGTGCGCTTGGTGTCAAGACTGGCGGGTTCCAATGTTTGACGACGTTACGAGGAAGAGTGACTGGACGTATGAGAGTTATAATACCCTGAAGACTGGAAGAAGTTATTGAAGCAAATCTGGTGATGTAGTGCTGAAAGGTCAGGCAGTAGATGGAGTTTTGGTATAGATTGAACATGACGCAGTGTACCCAGCCATTTGCAGATGAAGATGTGAGATCGGAGTCAGGGCTAAGAATAGTAAGTAACTAGAGCCATATATCAGACAAGATGCGCCATTTCATGGAATTACCGATACTCGATGCATGGTGTCGATGGGCATATTGGTCGCATTGACCAACACCGTGGCAGTGAACTGCCCAAATATTCCGGGCTCACGCGCAGAGAAGCTTGACATCCTAGAGGACCTGGTCCAAGTTCTTATGGTGGAGATAAAAGTTGGCAGCATGTTGGAGCAGTTCTGGATGTGCTGTTGGAATGATGCGGCTCGGTCCCAGTAGTTCGTTGCTCGCGCGTGATAGCCTCTTGCTCCATGGACAGAAAGGCTCTAAAACTTATTCCCTTTGAAGAAACAAAGTGCTACCGCTGAAGTACGCACAGTTAATATTCTGGGTTCCCCTACCATACTTACTTTTCGCCAGCAAATCCTCCGTCGAGGTTGTTGGTTGCATCTCGAAGGCCAGGCCGCTTACCTAGGTACCTAGGTACCTTATCGTAAGGTACGTATGCAATAGTCGTCGGCTCTCAGAAGTCTAAATGGACTTGCGCGCCACCATTTGAGCCGAACGAGTTACCTTGGCCTTAAGAGTTTACAAATAAGACTTCTAGAAGGAAGAAAAGCAGAACCTTTAATAAAGTTTAATCCTTCTGCTGGCCTAAGGTATATATACGCATCCAAGACATCAAAATGCCCCCCCTTTCCCCAAGTTTACAGACCTAGAAGCCGTCAAAATGAGCGCCCCAACAGCGTCCAAGTACTTTACTGATCGATGTACTGATCTCCTCCCGGTTGAGAACTTGAAGAGAGAATTGAGTACGCCAGATCTTTGGAATCCGCTCTCGGAAAATGGGAAGACAAGCCTGAGTTTCGTCTCCGTGCCGAACAGGTTGCCGCAATTTTGACAACTCCACTGTTACATCTTGAACCTGGGGGACAGTTGTCAGTGGACCGGCTGCTATTTCTGAGAATAAATCTCGATTCCATTGCGCCGGTCTGTAAGTATTGTAAGTATCTACCGTATTATTAATGATTATGGAACCAACTAACAGTTTGTGGACCTTCAGCATCTCGGTAAACGAGACTTAGGACACCATTGGCAGCCGCCAGCTGTGTCGCAAGCAGTATCATCAACACAAAAGGGTGGAATCGACCTTGACGACTGCTCAGGCTCTCTGTATGAACCACCGAGCAATACGGACACAAGCAACTCATCTATGATTGTCAAGAAACACGACGATATGGATATGGCTGAGCAGAAAAGATGCTTAAATCGAGACGGCAATGCTTGTATCTTGACAGGCTCTATGAAGCCTAGTGCTTATCATATAGCACCTTTCTCTTGGAACAACACTCAAGAAAATATTAAAAAAACGAGAAAGATTGGTGGCCGGCTTGGCCTTATAGCCGGTTTCGACTTTGTGCCCCGTACAAGCTACCTGTGCGACCCGGAGAGTCCAGGTGCATCAGACAAAGCGTGGAATATGATCTCCATGGATCCCCAGCTGTATAGCTGGTGGTGCAGGGGCTATTTCGCACTCAGGTATCTCAATATGGATCCAATTGGACAGAATGAGATGAATTTCACTTTGGAGTTTCGATGGACGCCTCAGATGAAACGATATTTTGGCCAAGAAATCGATGTCTATAATACAGGAATAGGGTATAACCTACAAGAGTTGGTCGATGAGCTCCATCGATTTCATGACTATGGCGATCCAGCACCTATAGCTGACTACGAAACAAGACTTGGAACCCCCACGAACAAGGGAGCCACCCTCCGTTCCGGAAAGCTTATCTATATACAAATGAAGGCGGAAGACGCAAACCGTTTCAAGGATATGATAAATATGCAGTGGGGTTGTATACTTATTACAGCCTTAAGTGGTGCTACAGGAAGTCCGCAGTTGCTTGCGAATAAAGATTCCGATGACCGGGCAATGCAGTGGGTTCAGGATCAGGCAAGAATAAGTAGGAGAGCTAGCAAATGAGTACAATTATAAGAGAACCAATATTAGGCTGTAAAGCAATACGATATACATACATAAAGAAATGCCTTGTTACTCACCATGACTCGATTGCCGTCTTCGTGATTGGCGATAGCTCAGTCTTTCCTACCGTCGTACTTTGCATGGTGAACAGAAAAGATTCAGAATTGGAATGAGTTTGATAACCACTTAGAAGAGGCCAGCTTTAGGTAGCTTTATAGGAGAAAGTATCCCAGACGGGGACTGACAGGGCGGGAACTACGAAAGATCAGATGATCATATGAGAAATAAAGTCGTTTGAGCATAAATTGTGTACAGCCCCATTGGTTCATACGACGACTGCCTAACCTCTCGCCCGTGACTCTCGACTCACAGTTCAGAAAGCATATTCTGTCCACCAACCGACTCTGGGTATAACCAGCCCAAATTCTCTTTTACCAAAGTATACTGGAGCAATATACTCTCCCAACAGCTCTAAACTATCCATTTATCCGATCCAGGCTCTACGATAGATGGAAATCGAACCCCAAGGTCTCACTGAGAATTATGTAACTACCCCGATAGATGTACATATCTTTGAATCTTAAGTCAAATTGACGGCCACTGAACATAAATACCCCCTTGATTTCCCGTTAAAAAGGTTTCATCGTGGTTACTGCTTTCTTCTTACAAGCACATCAAGTTGCTCTGCTGTCAGTTTTCTATTGCTGCATTACTCTCTGGCAGACACTTGGAACCACCATCCAAACATCGCGGTGTACTTGCTGATTCTCGCAAGCTACCTTTTAAGAGCTTGTGGGTCTTGGACATGTTGCTAACATAGTTTTAGTTATTTGTTGCTTGACAACCCTTTTCAAGGTGCTGGTGAGAGATTCTCTATACAACTCTCCTGTCAAGTCTACATCAGCATCCGGTACATCTGTCATTCTCTTCTTTTCATATCAACACAAGTCCTCCTGTCGTCATTAAAGACAGTATCCTCACTTAAGTATTGGTAGAGGCATATTTCTCCTGGTCTAGTCAGAGCCTTGGTTTCTTCAATACCATGTGTCTCCTCAAAATGTTCCGCACCAGCGGCACTCGTCGAATGTCAAAGCCAAAGTCAGAGTCCTTGTTCTCCGAACAATCAAAGGGCAACGCAAGAACTGACTACTCCTCTCGGCAAGTCTCAAGTGTTTCGGCAGGAGAGACCTCTACTGAGCGAACAAGCCTCCCCTCATCCTGTGACTTCTATACAGAGTGTCCAGTTGAGGAGGAAGAATCATCTTGGAGCTTGTTCGAGGGAGAATGGCATGAAGACTCAAGAAAGTGCGCGCTGTGTATGAAGCAAGAGTATCTAGACCAGTTTGAGAACCCATTTGACCCATGGGATGAATACAGTAACCATACTTCTGAATCAGAATCCACTTTGGAGTCTTGGCCAAGCACCAACAGCACTGACAGCATCTCACCACCAGCCAGCAACTCAGAACAAACTCCTGGCTGGACTGGTCAGTAGTCTTCTAAGACAGAGTATGGTGCAAGTCCTACTTCACAATGGACTGGTGAATACTCTTCTATGATAGAGTATAGTGCAAGTCCTGAAGTTTCACAATGGACTGGGCAGTACTCTGATCCTTATGAGTATAGTGTCTCGCCAAAAATGACAAGACTTGGCAAATGGGAGAAATCAATGATCCCAGGAGGCGAGCCAGACTTCAAGTGGATTCTAGAATATACACCAGAGTAAAAATATGGTTGCAGCTTCTCTCTCTCTCTCACACACACTCTTTTTCTCAGCAAATCCAGCAAAATCTTTTACAGCATGGGTGGTGTCTTTGGTGTTTTTGGTGGTTGAAGTGGTCTTTTACAATAAAGCTTTATCCTGTTTCTTCTCAATACATTGATACCTTGCTTTATAAGTGCATATTATAATAAGTCCAGGACTTTAATAGTAATAACTACTGCAGTATCCGTAGTTTTTCTAAAATCTTCTAATTTCCCATAAATTGGTCTAAATTATGACCAAATATGGCCTAAATTACTCTAAGGTTTGCCAATGAGATGCAATGCGTCACGTGCAATGCACCCCAAGTGAGGAGGTGTTCTCAGCCCAGGCCGGGCATAGCAGTGTAACGTACCTTAAGGTATCTTACTACATTTTCTTTGGAAAGCCATTCTTAGATCTGATAGGTTTCTGAACCAACCTCGACAATGAGTGACCCAGCAGCACGTGAAGACCTTACCAAGCGGCAGCTTCCTTCCATGACGCTTGTGAACGGCATCGCATCTCTACCTTCTGCAGCTCAAGCACGTACAGCTTCAACTTCAGATGATCCTTCGACAAGATTTCAAGTCCCCGGCATTGCAGTTGTTACCGGAGGGCTGGGAAACATTGCATTGACTGTTGTTCGAGCACTGTTGCAGCACGGCCTGGCTGGGCTGATGCTGCTTGACCTTGATGTGAATTCGGAGTCTGCGATGAGCAAACTTGATGATCTTAGGAAAGACTTTCCGGAAACGAAAATTGAGGCAGCGTCTGTGGATGTAACCGATGAAGAAGCTATAGGACGGATTATGGCTTCAACAGTTGAGAAACTTGGCGGCCTTGATTACCTCGTTTGCTTCGCGGGTATAGTCAACTGCACTCATGCCCTCGACCTGTCACCAAAAGTCTTCAGAAAGCTCCTCGATGTCAACACAACTGGGAGCTTCATCTGTGCCCAAGCTGCAGCAAGAGAAATGGTCAAAGCCAACACCGGCGGCCGCATCATTTTTATTGCCAGCATATCAGCCCATAGGGTCAACTATCCGCAGCCACAAGTTGCATATAATACATCCAAGGGAGCTCTGTTAATGCTAAAAAGTAGTCTCGCGGCAGAGTGGGCGCGATATGGAATTACTGTGAACAGCATCAGCCCTGGATACATGGATACTATTCTGAACGAGGGAGAGGGACTAGCAGATGCAAGAAGGTCATGGGCCGAGAGGAATCCGAGTGGAAGAATGGGAATGCCCGAGGAATTGAGTGGAATAGTTGTTCTATTGTGTTCCAAGGCTGGGAGCTACATCAACGGGTCTGATATGGTTGTCGACGGCGGAGGAATAGTCTTTTGAACGGCAACCATAATCCACAAGACGCTGATAAAAAACAACATTATGTAGCCAGTTACCAAAAGCAGACTTTTAATCTATGATAAGAATATCAACGGCTATTTCGAGGCGGAGCCATCACGTAAACGCGGTCACTCTACGTCTGCTTACACGCCAAGTCCGACTCCACCAGAAATTCGTCTAAGTAAGCGGCCAACAAAAAAACAAGTTGATCCAACAAAATAGATACTAAATCCTCCTCGAATAAAGGATCCGCATGTGAAACATTCGGAATTGGAAAATCCCAGAACCGACCGTGGTCGCATCGGAAGCCATGGAAGCTTAATTGGGGTCATAGCGACGGAGGTTCCACCGAAACTTAATCCTTCTCAAACTCCGACTTCCCCTCTCTGCATCGCTCAAACCCCGAAAGCTATGTCTTCGAGATCGATATTCGTGAGTGATAAAGACAATATTCGGGGAGACTTACTAAGGAATTTAGGGGATTCTACTCATTGGACTGATTGCTTCTTTCGTGTACGAGAGGATCAATCTGATTCAGACCTTTTATCAAAATGCCCCCTCGCGTATCACCAAGGTGAACAACATCGGGAAATATGAAGTCAAATTTGAAGATCAGATAAGGAGTTGCGAGGATGTTCTACTCATTGAGGAGTATCATCTTGCAATTCTTGCCTGTGATCCAGGAAGAGAGCGACACAACACCGTCATGGTTCGTTTCAATCCCGTACTCAGCGATTGTTACTAACAAGTGCAGGGAGTCTTTGCAGGAAATGTCACCAAAAATGCTGAGCTTTGGGCATATGACTACACAATCACCGATGGTTCCGACGCTGAATCCCTCAAGAGGATCAAATTGGCCGGATTCCCTCATGCATCTGACTTTCATACCCTGGGCATGGCATTTGATCTTGAGACATCGAATCTCTTCGTCGTGAGCCATGCCGTCGCAGGATCACGTATTGAGCTCTTCAATCTCGACATTGGATCATTGACTGCTAGTTACATCCAAACGATTCAGCACCCTCTCATCAATGCGCCAAATTCAATTGCGTCTATCAACGGACATGAGTTCTACGTGACCAACGACCACTACATCACCAAGAAGCAGTCATTCCTGCTCAGCAACCTGGAGACATACCTGAGCCCACCTACAGGAACAGTGGTTCATTGCAGCCTTAAAGGTTCAGACATCGATGTTAAGGTTGTCGCGTGGGTTCCTTTTGCCAACGGTATCGAGATCATCAACAGTTCAACCGTTGCGGTGGCGTCATCCTCACGAGCAGCCATTTATATGTTTAACACTCCAGACGCCACAACGTTCAAAGAGACCTCCAGAATCAAACTTCCTTTCATTCCCGACAACCTCTCTGGATCTGGTAGAAAGCTCATGATCGCCGGACACGGCCACCTGCCTGCCCTGGCAAAGTTCACGCAGTCGCGTCGTTTTTGCAACGACCCCTTTGAATACGAACGCGCGGACCCTACTGTAAAAGATTCCTGTCGTGAACTGCAGGCTGTTTCTTGGGTGTCTGAATGGAGTGAGACTGAAGGGCTGAAGCACCTCTATGTCGACACTGAATATCCGTCTAGCTCGACTGCTGTCAGGGACGCCGGAAAGGGGGTTGGAATCATCAGCGGCCTCTACGCCAAGGGTATTCTGATTTGGAGAGACGAGAAATAAAAACATGCTGGCTTTGTGTTTATCGCAGAGTATTGGAAAGAAAGGCGAGATCTAGAGGAGGAGAAAAGTGTTCAGAGGCGAAGGATTGCATCTGATCAAGTGGATGTAAATTCGTCTCAGCAGGTAATTCTTCAAGTTGGTCTTGGTCTATCACTCACTATACATACGATTGAGGGCACACTGAATGATGGTCAGCATTCACAGTTGGGAACAAGACTGAATAACGGAGTTTGTGTAACATCCTACGTCTTTCACTATCGCTGTATCTCAAGCACCGTCAAAGAACAGTTCAGCATAAACGATTTACAAGGGGACCAGAAAAGTATTTGAGAGTGCATCTACGATCTCTGGATACCATTCCGTGAATAAGTCCAGAGACTCAAGTATAAATTGACCCGTTTCGCAAGCTCCAGACGAAACATGCCCAATTTCATCGTATCTAGACCTCAAATTCCCAAGAGGCCTCGCTATTATACATTATGAGTTCTATCACCATTCCCCAACTGCCTCCTGCCGACTCCTTGATTTGCGAGGTTACCCACTCGCCTCCTGTCGCTTCAGTCTCCGCCACAAAAAAGCCCCAGAATCATCACTGTGCTCGCCGAATGATATGCCAGTGTCCCGGATGCCATGGTTGCGAGCGTTTCATCACGCACTGGGCAACGTACCAGTGCGCAGTTTGTTTCCGTAACTGCCCTGCCTAGCGCTATCGATGTAGACAAAGAATCCGGGTCTCCCATGTTGCTCGTGGTCTTATGCTGGATACTGGATACTGGATACTGGTTGCTCGATCGATGTGGACGGATTTTGCTGATTTATTCTTTGCTACCTGTAGCCTCGTATTGAGTGTGACTAAAAAATCATAATCCTGAAAAAGCTTTGTCCCTATTCATGGTAATATGAAGCATTGTAAAACATTTCTTCCTCGATGTTATCCGTGGTCATAACCACGTCTTGCAACCTCGCTGCTTGAAGCTGCGGGCAGGTCGAGATAATAATGTCCTTGAGATCCTTGTGGTGTATATGCAAGGTCTCGAGATTGGGAAAGTTTGAGGCGTCAAAGTTGCCTAGACCACCCTCGGCCATCTTTCCGAGTTTGATAGATTTGATGGAGTCTCGGTGAGGTTTTAGGATATCACCAACCAATTCAAGTCTCCAACGGAAGTCTCTTGTACTTTCAGATACGGATCCCCGGTCCCATCGCATGGTGAAGTGCTTGAGGCCTTTCAGCCATGTCATAAAGTTTCTCACCAAGTCGTGATGATCAGTTAAATTAGTGAGAGTGAGACTGGTAAGAGAGAACCCAGAACATGGATTGGAGTTGTGAAGCTAATTGCGGTCAGTCAGTATGTAGCTGCTTCGGTACGTACGGTTATAAATTAATGGGATACTCACCCTCCCGAGAGCATAGCTTCTATATAAGTACGAGGCTCTGCACACACGCTGCCGAATCATCAAATGCTTAAGGTTCAAGCAGCCGCCGCCCAGCGCCAGTTGAATATCGAATGAAGTCAGCTGATAGCGATGGAATGATATGTCGTTTAAGATGTCGATGCACTCCAATCGTGGCATGCTCATTCTTGCGCAGGACAGTACATGGAATGTAATTTCACCAAGCTCCTGGACAAGTGTGCCATGCACACCCCCAGATATGACCAAGGTCCTAGTGTTAAAGAGCCAATTTGTACAATCCAGGATAATCGAAGCACAGGTCTTTGGCCAGGGAGCAGACAGTTGCTGATGCGGCTCTGCAGGGTCCAAGGTTTCGTATATGGGGAGGCTGAGGGATTCCACATCGCCGGCATGTCGTAGGCTTTGCCTGTGGTGCAATATGAAGCGAGTGCAAAAGCGCCGAAGTTCTATGTTCTCTCGCAAAGTGCGATGGAGGCGTAGGACTCGTGTGGAAGGAGAAAGCTGGGGGTTAAAGTCGTCGTCACGATATTCATCTGTGTAGATGCATATACAAGAATAAAGGACCTCGGTCGCAGCCGCATTGAGTCTGGAGCAGACCAAGGCCGAAGAAAGAAGGTCGCCGTAGTAAGGGAGCACTGCTTGATTCGGATAGTTGTTCGTCGGCTGTTGCTCAGAGGCTTTCTCCATGATCATGCGCAGCACTTCATTAGGGACTCCGAGGAGGGGGAAGTGGTCACGTCTGGGGGAGACATCCATCATCGCGAGGACATGAAGTTAGTGAAATGAATGAAGGAGAGAGAAGACGAGAGACAGAAGAGATTGAGTCCTCCGAGTGAGGTAGAAAGACCTGGAAACAGAGACTGAGGTAGCTGACTGAGGCTGTTATTGGCTCCATTGGCGGCACTGGCAGACATTGGCAGGCAGGTGCTGGGAGAATGGTGAAATAGAAGCATTTTAATTCTAAGAACAAGACTAAGGTACTGAAAGTATTTGCTAAATAGGTGAATTTAGAACATTAGGATGCCTACCTAGTTTATGATGATCTTTATCATGAATGATGTGTGATAAGATAGACGTAGTTGAACAACATACACATGCGGGTCCAGATACTGCCAAATCGATCGCTCTAGACCACTATTGTCACCTTGCTAAGGGATTCAAATAGTGGAGTGATTTTCTTTGTGGCGGCTCATCTCCACAAATTCATGGAGAGTTTTTTTCCATTTTCTTTCTCTTCTCGATATTCTTTCTCCACCCGAGGACCCTGAACTTTCACTCTCCATTCAACTCTCAATTCACCACTAAGACTCTCTCAATCACCGTCGTCATGCCTATCTCAAAGAAGGATCGCGTATGTCATTCACTGACCTCAACTACGAACGACAAATCATCTGACATTTCACAGAGAAACAAGGAGCACAAGAGGGCCGACGCTGCCGGTACTCGCGCTCCAGTCAAGCCCAATGGTCTCCCCGTCAAGGCTCCCAAGCCCACCTCAATCGTATGTAACTCTCCTCGTCAAGTTGACGTTGTCTAAAATATGTAGTGCCAAAATTGCCGCAAGGAGATTGTCAACACCAACAAGCTCCAGCTCGAGGTCCACGCGTCAACACACGACGCTAAGCTCTGGCCTAAGGAGAAGTGCTGGCCCAATGACTTCCAATAGACTACAAATCGGTGTTGGGTGTTTGAGGAAGAAAGCTATTGGTTTTGCTACAGAATGGCGCATGGGTTGAATTGAGGGGTTGCGCGGTTTTGAGTCGCGGTAATGATTCATGAAAGAAAGATAGACTGACAAAAAAAAGATGAATGAACAATCCTGGCATTTCTTTGATATTTAAACACTGCCTGATCTCGTGCTACTCCAAGTTGCGATCTCAGACAAACTCAGCTTATCCATCTCAAGATCTACTTCAAAAACACCTGGCGCACCTTCAGCAGCTTCATTCGGTCCTTTGCCTGGAAACCTCTCCCGTTTCAGATATAGACCGCCGTCCTTTTTCGTCATGTAAAAGGTCAACTCTCTGCCCGCCGAACCATCCAATCCTGATTCAGCTGGCCCTATGACAAAGTGTCTGACTCTCATTATATCAGGCGGTAACACGCCATACTGGGTAACAAAGCTATCGACATCTTTTCCTGATATTCCATGCTCGAGATCGACTATTCGCTGAGCGACGACCTGGAGCGTATGGCTATTCCAGAGACTTTCTTGCGCGGCACAAAGAACGCCCATTAACCGGAGTGCTTCGATACGAGTTTCCAAAACGCGGCATTTGATAGCAGCGAAGAAGAGATATGGCGCGAAACCCATCTCGAAATGGAATTCAGATGGTGTTGACCTCGCCCTTAGTCCAGCTAGCTCTCGAGCACCCTCGACCATGCGTGTGAAGTTGGGGATGAAGGCATCATAATCCATCTCATCGGTGACGAACTGCACGCGAGATAATACCATGCAGACCTCATATACATGGAAGAGCCATATCCGCGACGTCAACGATGTATGTGTCAGGCCTTGGGGCGTTTCATCTTCGAATTTATCGAACGAGGATTTCCACTGTTCCAACAAGTCATGGATTTCATATTGTTCGAGAAGGACATCTGGTGTAGCTGGCTCGTTTCTCATATCGCCGAGACGGTAGTCGGCTGTCCGCCTGAAATGCTGTATAGTCATGTTGTAAATAGCATCGATCGAGGTTTGAGCTTGAAAATGTGAAGAGAAGGATTCGGGTATCGTTGGAGATTCAGAGTAGCCCATAGGCTGTGAGTCGCCAAAGTAAAAGGGTAAGATGCTCATCCGCCGAAATATCGGCAATAGATAATGCAGCACCCATTTCGGTGGATTCGACGTATTAATCAGATTCATCCCATGGTGGCAGTGTCGGATAGCCACGTCTCCATTAGACTGTAAAACCTCGATGCACACAAACATGAGGCAAGTCAGTAACGCCAATATTATATCTGGCTTATGCGGAGTCTGGAGTTCCCGAATCGCCGCATTATAATGCTTCAACGCAAAGACACTGCGCTGGGTCGCAACAGCAGAAGAATTGTCTTTTGACTGTAGGTTCTCAAATAGAGAACTGATTGTCATGATGGAGTGTCTGACAGCTGGTTCATGGTCGCAGAATTGTAAGACAACATTGGTCCAGAAGTATGGGTCGATAGGCCCTGATAACGAAGGAGCCGCAACCCTGCAGAAGAACTCGATAGCTCGTGAGTCGGCCCTCACATTGTCTCCCAGGACGTGGTTCTGGGGACGGTAGAGCGCAAGATGAGAGTATGAGGCCTGACCATATCCCAGGCCTTGACATTTGCGACCCGCACTAATGCATCGCTGACACGTCGGTTTGCCCTCATCGCATTTTATCTTACGCGCCCTGAAGAGAAAGCGTTAGAGCGTGGATTGAAGACATCAATTCGATTGTGTTACCTACTTGCATATTAAGCAGCCACTTCTGGTCTTGTGATTCCTCTTACGGAGCATTTGCATAAATGTTGGCGGTGAAATGAAGTTGAGAACTGACTGTTGGTTCGAACTGCCGACATCATCACAGTCGCATTAGATAAGATAAGCGATAAGCGAG